CTGGCTTTGTTGGTAGTCTTAATTACCAAATCAAATGGGCCATATAAGTGACTTGATAAAACACATACACATATAGTATTAAAAAGTGTCCAGAAAATGACACAATCAAATCTCAAAGTGGTTTGTATTCCACTAGAAATCTACTAAAATAAGAGGAAAATGTGTGTTCACTGGTGTTTCAGAGAAATGTAAACACTACCCTTGCAGGTACTTAGAGGAATGTTAGGTACAGACCACTGCTTTTAAGTAATTAAAGTCTATGGTGTTCGACAAGTGTCTCAATAAACACACTTTCTACCACCTTTTACATGGAAATTTAAGTGCTTATTTACATTTACTTTCAGACTTAAAGTTGAAAAGATGTCTTGGGGCACTTCTGAGAATCAAAATGGATTATATAAATCCTTCAGATCAAAACATCTTATGCCATCACAAACTTTCTATTAAATTCTATTGCTAATTCAAAATATTGATGTGTTTTATTTTGGGTTTCCGTAGAGCGAAGCCTGAAGGACATTGGTCCCACCTGATGCATTTTAAATACTCAGGCTGCTATTTTTCCTGTAAATGTCTTTGCAGGAACTATATAAAAGGCTTTTCTGTGGAAATAAGATTTGCTGAATGGAAAGGATTCCTTTAATGAGCCATTTAGAAGAATTTAAAAATCCTTTTAGAAAATTTGTAAGATATCAGAATTCCTTCATCAAATTTGAATTGTGTTTCAATGGGAAGTTAAAGCTACAGTGTACTGCAGGAGTGTTTACATGGGGGCTCCTTTTCACTTGGTATTTAAACTCAGCAAGTAGTTTGCATACTAGATCACATTGGTAAACCTACCTATTTGTCAACAGAACTGTTAGGTAGATTTGATGAGGTGGGCTTTGTGCTCCAAGAGCCTGTGACAGACCCTGAAGGGGACACAAGGCAACTGTGAAGCGATACGTTGCATTGGCCTTTGAGATGTTCCTTAAGTCATCACAGGATTTTAACAGGAAGAAAAATGGGGAGCAGGTGGGAAAATGAAAGGAATTCACGCAAAAAGAACAGTTGAGGCAAAGGCCTATGGAAAGAAAGTGTGAGAGGTGCAGAAACAAGGAATTATGGTTGAGTCTGATGATGAGGGAGATAAAGTTACTGGAGACACTGGGGTCTCCTCATAGCGTAGAGTAAGCCTGCATCTTGTTCTAAAGTATCCAGGCAAATTAGTAGTATGATTTAATCTCTACTGGTAGATTTGAACCTGACTTGGGTAAAGTTGGAGGAAGAGGCCAGTTAGGAAGATTTTGCAATTGTTCAAAATTTTTTAAAAAGTAGATGAATGCAAACCAACATAACAGCAGTGGAGAGAGAAGGAGGGATAATTAAAAACAAAACAAAACTCATAGTTCTAATCCATGGGACTTGGCAATGATGTGTATGTAGGAAGCTGAGGACTGTGAACATCCCATGATAACTCAGAGGTTTTGAGCCTGCACAGTGGGAAGGCAGTGAAGCGATCAGAATAAGCAGAGGCCACAGATGGAGGTTGGGGTGAGTGAGAATGAGCTGAAGGGGGAAGTATAAACACATCTGTCTAAACTGTGAAATGTCCAAGATGACAAACATTTGTTGGATGAATGCGAGAAATGGGGAAGGAAGGAAGGGGAGGAGAAGGAGAAGGAAGGAGCTCTCCAGGACAGGAGGCAGCTGGATAGGCAGACACAAGCCTAGGAGAGGGTTCTCTGTACAGGCCATGTAGAGACACCCTAGAGAGAGACAGGAGGGGAAGAGACGGAAAGCGAAAAGACACGGAGTGGGTGCTCGCTTCAGCAGCACACACACTAAGACGTGGAGTGAGAGGGAAGCGGCTTAAGACAGACCTCGGCATCAGCCCTTGTAGGGGCCAACAGACAAAGACCCAGCTCGGAACAGGAAGAGGGCAGAACCAAGAACCCAGAGAGCACAGAGCTGCCAAAATCTAAGGAAACAGACAGGCAATTTGGCCTTGGAGTATAGAATGAGGCAGGGCAAAGGCTAATAGAGTTTTGCCAAGAGAACGCACTGGTCATAGCAAACACCCTCTTCCAACAACACAAGAGAAGACTATACATATGGACATCACCAGATGGTCAACACCAAAATCAGACTGATTATATTCTTTGCAGCCAAAGATGGAGAAGCTCTATACAGTCAGCAAAAACAAGACTGGGAGCTGACTGTGGCTCAGATCGTGAACTCCTTATTGCCAAATTCAGACAGAAATTGAAGAAATTGGGAAAACCAGTAGACCATTCAGGTATGACCTAAGTCAAATCCCTTATGATTATAAAGTGGAAGTGAGAAATAGATTTAAGGGACTAGATCTGATAGACAGAATGCCTGATGAACTATGGATGGAGGTTCGTGACATTGTACAGGAGACAGGGAGCAAAACCATCCCCAAGAAAAAGAAATGCAAAAAAGCAAGATGGCTGTCTGAGGAGGGCTTACAAAAAGCTGTGAAAAGAAGAGAAGGAAAAAGCAAAGGAGAAAAGGAAAGATATACCCATCTGAATTCAGAGTTCCAAAGAATAACAAGGAGAGACAAGAAAACCTTCCTCAGTGATCAGTGCAGAGAAATAGAGGAAAACAATAGAATGGGAAAGACTAGAGATCTCTTCAAGAAAATTAGAGATACCAAGGGAACATTTCATGCAAAGATGGGCTCAATAAAGGGAAATGGTATGGACCTAACAGAAGCAGAAGATATTAAGAAGAGGTGGCAAGAATACACAGAAGAACTACAAAAAAGATCTTCATGACCCAGATAATCACAATGATGTGATCACTCACCTAGAGCCAGACATCCTGGAATGTAAAATCAAGTGGGCCTTAGGAAGCATCACTACGAACAAAGCTAGTGGAGGTGATGGAATTCCAGTTGAGTTCTTTCAAATCCTAACAGATGATGCAGTGAAAGTGCTGCACTTAATATGTCAGCAAATTTGGGAAACTCAGCAGTGGCCACAGGACTGGAAAAGGTCAATTTTCATTCCAATCCCAAAGAAAGGAAATCCCAAAGAATGCTCAACTACCACACAATTGCACTCATCTCACACGCTAGTAAAGTAATGCTCAAAATTCTCCAAGCTAGGCTTCAGCAATACTTGAACAGTGAACTCCCAGGTGTTCAAACTGTTTTAGAAAAGGCAGAGGAACCAGAGATTAAATTGCCAACATCTGCTGGATTATCAAAAAAGCAAGACAGTTCCAGAAAAATATCTATTTCTGCTTTATTGGCTATGCCAAAGCCTTTGACCGTGTGGATCACAATAAACTGTGGAAAATTCTGAAAGAGACGGGAATACCAGATCATCTGACCTGCTTCTTGAGAAATCTCTATTCAGGTCAGGAAGCAACAGTTAGAATTGGATATGGAACAACAGACTGGTTCCAAATAGGAAAAGGAGTACGTAAAGGCTGTATATTGTCACCCTGCTTATTTAACTTATATGCAGAGTACATAATGAGAAACGCTGGGCTGGAAGGAGCACAAGCTGGACTCAAGATTGCCAGGAGAAATATCAATAACCTCAGATATGCAGATGACACCACCCTGATGGCAGAAAGCAAAGAACTAAAGACCCTCTTGATGAAAGTGAAAGAGGAGAGTGAAAAAGTTGGCTTAAGGCTCAACATTCAGAAAACTAAGATCATGGCATCTGGTCTCATCACTTCATGGCAAATAGACAGGGAAACAGTGGAAACAGTGTCAGACTTTATTTTTTTGGGCTCCAAAATCACTGCAGATGGTGATTGCAGCCATGAAATTAAAAGATGCTTAGTCCTTGGAAGAAAAGTTATGACCAACCTAGATAGCATATTAAAAAGCAGAGACATCACTTTGTCAACAAAGGTCCGTCTAGTAACGGCTATGGTTTATTCCAGTAGTCATGGATGGGTATGAGCTTTGGACTATAAAGAATGCTGAGCACTGAAGAATTGATGCTTTTGAACTGTGGTGTTGGAGAAGACTCTTGAGAGTCCCTTGGACTGCAAGGAAATCCAACCAGTCCATCCTAAAGGAGATCAGTCCTAGGTGTTCATTGGAAGGACTGATATTGAAACAGAAACTCTAATAGTTTGGCCACCTAATGCAAAGAGCTGACTCATTTGAAAAGACCCTGATGCTGGGAAAGATTGAGGGCAGGAAAAGGGGACAACAGAGGATGAGGTGGTTGGATGGCATGAAAAACTCAAAGGACATGAGTTTGGGTAAACTCTGGGAGTTGATGATGGGCAGGGAGTCCTGGCATGCTATGATACATGGGGTCACAAAGAGTTGGACACGACTGAGCGACTGAACTAAACTGAACTAAAGGAAACAGATGTCTCTAAATAAGGAGGGGCAGTGGTCAGAAGGCTGAGAAAGTGTCTCTAGAGTTGATGACCTGGAGTTCATTACGTGGTCTAACGGTGCTCCAGGTCCAAGGCTAAGAGCCTTTCCCTTCCCAGTCGCCCAGTGTGACCCGCACAGCGACCAAGCTGCACTCGGGGAGTGTTAGAGTCTCACAACCAGCAAGTGGAAAGGCAAGGCTGCTAAACCAGCGGGGCTTCCCCAAGCCTGTGACTCCCACACAACCGGCTGCTTGCCTCAGTGGTGATGAGGGTGGAGGGCAGACCTCGGCGTCCAGGAGACAGAGAGAGAGAAGAGCACGGGAACTCACACTTAGCCCACACTCACTGTGGGCGCGTGTGTGACCACGGGCGAGAGGAGAGACAGGGGACGACAGCTGGAGGGGGCGAGGGTGGCTATTCAGGAAGGGGGGAGGACACTGTTTCTCTGGGTCCTGTGCCGGGATGTGGAAATAGTGTCACAAAACAGAAACCTGCATTAACATGAGCTTTTAAAAAAACTAGGATTTTACCATTATAACCAAGTATAGCAGACTAGCTATTTCCTTTCCTAAGACACATGAAAAGTGCTCTTTCCTATATTTAATGTATGTGTAAAAGTATTTATGCATTAGAATTGTACATACATTTTTGGGTGCCTTGCTTTTTTCTGATGAGGGTGTGATATTTCGTTTCAAAACGATAGTGGCATTAAACTCTGAATCATGGGAAACAAAAGGAAAATCAGCCATGAGAATATACAAGCTAGCAAAGGGAATACACACCAATCACAGGAGTGAATCCTCTCAATCACAGGGCAAAAGACTCTTGTGAGGGGAAGAAAATTCATTTCGCCTTCTGAGGGCAGATTCTGCATTGGCCTTTGTGGAGCACACCAGCCTTCCCCTGGGAGCACGGTGCGGGCTCCTCCCTGGGAGGCTGTGGTCGTCTTTGTGTGCCTCTCAGAGAAACACGCTGCTGAGCCGGAGCTGGCTGCTCATCTGGGCATGTTTTTGGTCTCGTCTTTGCCCCTTCAAAGTGGCTGTAAGCCTCATGCATCCTCTGATCCTCAAGACAGGGCAGAATTTGTCCCATATTTAAAGGAGCACCCAGGGGAGGGAAGGCCCGACCTGTGCTAAAAAGGCTTTAAAATCAGGGGAACCGCCATGAGCAGAAAACGTGGTTGTTAATCAACTCTCGGCTTCAGTTGGCGGAGAATTGTTTTGATCAACTTGGAGCAACTGTGTGCTGTTGGACGTGCAGCAGAAGTTTTCTTGCAGAGGATTTTACACGAGTCCTCCAAGTCAAAAATATCTGGGAAGTTTGAAGAGGTTGTGAAAAGTGAAAGTGAAAGTGAAAATGAAATCACTCAGTTGTATCTCATTCTTTGCGACTCCACGGACTGTAGCCCACTAGACTTCCCTGTCCGTGGGGTTTTCCAGGTAAGAGTACTGGAGTGGGTTGCCATTTCCTTCTCCAGGGGATCTCCCCACCCAGGAATGGAACCCAGGTCTCCTGCAGTGCAGGCAGATGCTTCACCCTCTGAGACACCAGGGAGGCCCCTGAAGAGGTTAGATCCCGAATGCCAGCACAGTGAGTGAGAAGGAGAAGAACCGAACCCACTCATTGTTTGGATGACCTAAAGCTCAGCCTCAGGTCTGGTGCGGCCCTCCCCGCTCCACTACAACCCCACCCCAGGACTGCGTGTTTCTGTGAAACGCCCAAGGCCGAATGTCCACAAGATCTCACGAATTCCATGACAACTCCTGCATTCTAACGCCACCAGGGTCTATGAAACTCCTCCAGTGGGCAGATTCAAGTGTCTAATTCAGACCTGACCTTGAGAAGCAGGTTTTCTACTTGTCCTACCCACCAGCCATTGACTCTTGCATTACAAGTGTAGGACTGAACCAGAGCTTTTACTCTGACCTGATGGCCTGCAGTTGGCTAGTGTTGGGTGGATAGTAAAGCAATAGCAGAGCTTGCAAACCGAAGGTCCAGCTCCCTCCTAGACCTCACATAAATGCACCTCTGGGGAGAATCTGCCTGCTGAGAATCAGCATGGCTTGGCTTGAGACCACAACAGCTTGGTTGTGTAGCTCTGACCTGCAGTCCTGGGCAGTCATGAGCAGTGAGCGTACAAGCCTTCCTCTCTGGAATCTTCTAGGCTGCCACTGCATTTATCAGAGGGCTGGTCAGGTCCCTTCAGTTCCTGTCTCTGGCAGGGAACAGAGGCAGCCCCAGATCTGGGTCAAGAGTCTGAACACATCCCAGCTCCAGAAATACTCTGCAGTAGCCATTTGTCCTGAGGGACCCCCATGCTAACTGCTCTGCTCAGGGGCCAGTGAGGTCTGTCCCCAAACTCCACTGCCATTTCCAGATGAGGTCATGCCAGGCTCAGGAAAGTCTCAGGGTCTGCCCCACCATTAACACCGGGCATCCCAGGGGATTCTTCAGGGCCCCAGGTATTTACGTTGTTTGTCAAGTTCTTAATCTGAACTATATGAAATAGCCATTTTTGGTAGGTCAGACATGGACAAAAATGTCATATGTTCATCCTCATAATGGAAATTATAAGAAAAGTGTCGAGTGACTTCCTGCTGTGTGTGCAGTATTGTTCCAGGACCTGGACACGTAGTGATAATGAAGACAGATGGGCCTTGCTCTTCATGGCACATTCTATTGGGAGCTGGTTTTCTGGGGCCACTTCCTAGCTATATGTTAAGCCAGTTACTTGGCCTCTCTGAACTTCACCTAAGTATTGTGAAGGATAAATGAGATAATGTATATTAGGCCAGAAATGCACTGATGGCCTTCAATAAATGATAGTTCCTGTCATTTTACTGTGGCTCACATAGGACTCCTAATAAATGTCTATTGAACAAAAAAAGCCTCCGAATGCTGTGGGAATCTTAAAGCCCACCCCCTCAGAGCCTGAACTGGACACTCCCTCAGGAGAACTGTACACACGGGGCGGGGCCCTGAAAAGGAAAACCACGGATCCCAGAGTTCACCACTCCCTGCCTGCCCTGGGGCCTGGAAGAGACCAGCTGTGGTCAACCCGCATTGAGTCAGGAAAGCAGTAGGCACAGGAGGACTTTGGGGTGGTGAATCTGGTTCCTACGTCTGAATGGGCGTGTAATCATTTAGTCTGAAGAAAATAATCGTCAAATTTATTGCTTGAGGCAAAGCAGAGGTTGAGACCTCAAAGGAGACTAGGAAATTACCTGTCGGAACTTCTGGTTTTAGAAATCAAATACAGAGTTGGCTCTGACTAGTAACAGAATGTGCAAATTGACCAGTCCTTTCTCCAACAGTCCACTCACTGAGTCACTGGCCTGAATGTAGATATGGAGTTAATAGATTCCTTTTGCAGCCGAGGGGCCTGTTTTTTGGCTCTGTGTGCAAACAGGCCACAGGGATATTTCACAGGTCACCTGGCATATCATTTGAGGCTGCATAAATCGTACCGTACAAGGTGTGAATAAGCGCATAGCTGTTATCTACAGCTCAGCTTCTGATGGTACCTTCACTGTCATCATTGTTCTGAGCTCTGTCCAGTTCTCTGGGTCCATTCTTCTTGGGTGGTGCACAGGAAGTTGAGACCAACAATTGCGCTAGCTTCTTTTCATACACTTTTCTGGTGGAAGCTGAGAAAGAATGTGGAGAGCAGTTTAGTCACTCTGTGTATGTGATCTCACTGTATTCAGAATATTACACAACTTAGATTTTTATTCTTACATTATTGGGAAACTGTGACTTTTACAATAAGGTGGACCCCATACCTACTGAACTCACTCCTTTCCTTCCACCAACACTTAAGGTGGGGCTTCTGTGGACTGGCCACAGAGTTAGGTATTGTGGACATTGGAGAACAAGACTGACAAAGTTGTACATACTATTTATGGGAAATATGGAAAAGTACACAAACAGTTAACACGGTGCACGCACTAGAAATGTAAAAAGAGCCCAGGGTGATATAATCAAGAGTAACTAGCTTCTCATGATTGTAAAATACCAATACTTTCCCTTCACTAGTCTGTGAATAAGAACTGGTCTCTTTCTTCTATATGGTTTTCTGGGTTTTTTAACTTTTTCCTATTTCTATTTTAATCTTTTTTATTGCATATGTTCCTTCCACTACAAATAATTTTCAGCCTTTGGAGTTAGCTCACAAGTAATCATTGAGCGGTCTCTAGTAATTGCCACATACATACGTAGTACTGGGCCAGGTGAAAATCCGAGTTTGTCGAGTTCATTCTGCAATTTGTCATCACTCAGACACTTCACCTCCAACATGGTGGCAAAAGTTTGGTCTCTTTTCTGACAGCTGAATCCTTAAGACAGCAAAACATTAAGTTATAAATGAGACCTATAAATGAGAACTAAAACTTTACCAGTCCAAAAAGTGTTTACAGTCCCAGCTCCCCAGTTGTGGAGATGCATAGTCAATAAAGCAAAACCCACCATTTTCTGCTGTTTTTCTGTCACCAATCTCTTCTGGGTTTAGTGGCCTCAATGCAAAGCTTTGGTAGGTTGTCACTTTCCCCAGTCTTCAGGGTTCAATTATTTCTAACTTTTCCACTCAACTAATGTAAGAAAAATCTTCTACACAAAATGAACAAATATTTCGATCACTGCTTAGGAGCTCTGAGTAAGACACAAGCTCTGAGAAGACAAGTTAATTAAATATGAAAGAGCTGAGAGAGATTTTTTAGTGCGTTAAATAAAAGTTATTTATCCCTGCCCTCCTCCTGACGAGAGCGTAGAGAGTACAGAGCATTCAGTTATTGCAGACAGTCCTCTTTTCACACTTGTAATTTAACTCTTAACATAATGAGACGGTAGTTTTTAATTAACCGCCAGCAGACTTTGTAATTGCTGAATTGGCATTTGAAAAAAAGTCAGCTATTCACTCTCTGGCACACAAATTGATTTATATAGATTTAGGCAAGTCTTGATATGGCTTTCCAAATCTGCACAACCTCAGGTTCAATCAGATTTATTTCGTTGATCCCTGTATCCCCTAAAACTGACCTTCCACCTACTTAATAAAACTCTGAAAAGACAGATGCATTTGTCAAATCTTTATTTATTATACCTCATTTCTATTATGTTCTTCTTAATATTGCAGTGAAAACAACTTCAAGACAATTACTCAGCATATCAGGATCTGGACCAATTTTAAGTAATGACTTTGAACTTTATTGGTGATCAATCAATGTCCAATTAGGAAGAACATTGTATATAAGTTAGAAAAAGCTGTGAATTGTCAAGTATAACAGGATTGTTCAATAATGCCTCATTTACCAGTTCTCCACCTTAAAGCTATACTTTGGCCAGAGTCACATTCTGGCACATAGTAGGTACTTGGTAAATGTAAGTTTCCTTCTTTCCTATGTATTTGGAAAGCTGAATTGACATTTTAAAGGCCACTAGTAAATGACCTAATGTTATGAAGGAAAAGAATGATGCACCTCAGATATTTTTTAAACTGGAAGCTAGCTTGGGCAGATCCTATGACACTTGTTCCCAAGAACAGCTGTCTGTCGTTTCACTACCTTCCCAAAAATAACCTCCAAAACAGCCCTCATCAATTTCAAGTGACAGTAGACAATTGCTTAAAGGGAACACACATATGGAAGAAAAATTCAAATAGAATCCAGCTGAATGATTAATTCACTTACCTGTTTACATGGTTATCTAAAGTCTATGCAGTTGGGATGGTTACTAAAGCTGGGTGAGTTTCACCCAAGGATTTCCACTAGCAACCAATCACTTTTTGCCTGTTAAGTATTATGGTAATCATAAAACTGACATGTGACATCAGAAATCCCCCTGGCAACAGACTGATGTGAAAGTCAGATGATGAATTTAACTTGAGTTCAAACAGAAGGAGGCACTGGTCAACTTCATAGGCCAACTGCCATGGTAAAATGTCAAGGGATGCAGAGAGACTATCACGCATAGGAAGTGAGAAGAATCTGTTACCAAACCAAATAGTGCTAAGAAATCGGGAAGATAAAGGAGAGATCAAACAGACTCGAGTGTCCAGGCCATCATCAAAAGACTCACAGTAGTGGATAGGTAATTTGGTTATATACTCTAGGGAAAATAGGAAGGTAGAAGGAACTCATATTAACTTGTTAAGGAACCGCTCATAATAGGGAAAAGAGTCAGTATTTTAATAAACAATGTTTCAGAACTTTGATGGTTTTGGCCTTGCAAAGCACTCTCATATCATCTCATTTCATCCTCTGCACACTCCTGAAAGACCTCTGGCACAGATATTATTTATTATCCATATTGCAGCAGCTTGTTTTTGTTGTTGCTTAATTTTGTTTAAGAAAGAACCCTCAGACTATTAGCTCAAGTATTTCAAAAAATACTGCTGAGACTTTAAAAACAATTATGCAAGACAAAATATAACTTCGTGAAAACACAGTGCCTTCATTAAATACCAGGGGTAGGAGGAAACCACTGGGAGAGCTTAAGAGAACAGTGGAGCCAACCTGGCCAGAGTAAAATTACAGTTCTGTGTCTTACCAGCCGAGTGACCCTGGGTGGGGTAAGTTACTAACCTCACTGTGTCTCCATTCCTTCATCTGTAATGCAGATGACAGTGGTACCTACCTCACAGGGCTGTTATGTGGATTCACTGAGTGCTTGGCATACGAAGTGCTTGGCACATAGTAAGTAGTATATAGATGTTTTCTGTTGTTTTGATTTTTCATGAGCCCTATGCTCAGAAAGTTTCTACGACCAGTGTCTTTCTTAGAAGTCTCCATCCCACTTACACTTGCCCATGGGATTCTGTCACGTCAACACTTTGCAGATTCTAGGAAAGGACTGAACATCTCTGTGTGCACGGTCAGGGAGTCTCACTGCGGGATCCCAGACTGCGGTTCCAAGGGCTCTGGCTTCCGAGTCTGTGGATAAAGCATCAGTTTCCAAACAAACATGCAGTGCAAACATTTGCCAACATCTGAACACTGGGTTTACCAAACAAAGACTTTGAAAATTGACACATTTGTTTCACATCAAAGCAAATAAATGATAGGCTTGGGTTATTAGGATGCACAATCATTTTATTTACATTTCCCAGAATTGCTTTAAACAAAGAAAGCAGCCAGCAGGTGGAACTGCTTCCATTTAAACAGTTAGACTCTTGGGATGAAACTAGCATTTCTAAAATATTTTCTTGGTAAGACCTCTGGAACTTAAAACAAGTTAGGTTGACAAAGAATTTAATGAGATGATATGATTGGGTTAATACCCCTATTATTCACAAACCATTCTGTCTGAAGCATATGCATGATTCTATTCTCAGTGTTATTCTGTTTAAAAATTCCTGTATTCTGCGACATCCTGAAATATTTGATTTTGATGTTTACATCACCCATTTCCCTTGGTTTTATCTGTGAAGTCCTGGTCATTAGCTTGTTTTTTGTTTTATTCTCTCCATGGCTGCAAAGATGTTTTATTCCATTTCTCCAGGGAAACAAGTTTTAATTGCCAATCGACTAGGTATTCAACATGATAAGGTATCTAAACCCTGAGAGCTTCCTCCTTTCATTAAAATGTAGATCCAATTTCTTTTCCCTTAATGCCACATGCTGTTACTAAACTGAAATAACGGAAATAGTAAAAGCCAGATGTCACTTCAGTCTCAGGTTTGACATGGGGCACAATTTCCTCTCCTCAAGCTTAATCTGATGTTATTTACTAACCCCATCCTTTGGAAGAATGCACAATTTAAATGTAAATGCAATTTACATAGGGGAGCAGAGAGTAGATATGCAGTTTCAATTGCCAATAACCATTTGCAAAGAGGGAAATCAACTAAAGCAAGGATCAGCAGCTGTCAGGCTGAAGTCTGCATCACTTGCCATTCTCTCCCAACTTTCCTCCCAAAGCCACCTGCCTCTGAGCCTCAGCTAGGCAGGTACAAGGAAGTGGAGAACTGAGGCATTTTCTCAGATATTTCAAGCTGCACTTACGATTGACTCAGGGACAAAGGAGGAAGTTTGTTTCAGTGAGCTAATCTGGTTGGCATCACTATTGAAATTATGAACTGACCAATTTCTTTCAACAAATATTTATTGGTCATCTCCTATGGGATAAACTTTATGTTTGGCCTAAATTAGGGAGACAGAGAAGAGAAAATACAAAGATGCAAAACCCACAGTCCTTCTTTTAAGGAGCTCATTCCCTTAAAGAGAAAAGACATTCCCTTAAAGAGAAAAGAATGCAAATAATTGCAAGAAAATAAGATAAACTGTTAACAGAGTGCTCCAGGAGCCCAGAATTGGAAGTTTCTAAGGGCTGAAAGTTTCATCTGGGCTGAGGCTTCTAGAATAAGCCATAGTGAAAGTGAAGTCGCTCAGTCGTGTCCAACTCTTTGTGACCCCATGGACAGTAGCCTGCAGCAGGCTCCTCCGTCCATGGGATTTTCTAGGCAAGAGTCCTGGAGTGGGTTGCCATTTCCTTCTCCAGGGAATCTTCCCGACCCAAGGATCAAACCCAGGTCTCCAGCATTGTAGACAGATGCTTTACTGTCTGAGCCACCAGAGAATAAGCCATAGTTTGCCCTATAAAAAGAGAGCTGGGGACCATCATTCTGGGATGTGGTGAGCAAGAAGGAAATGAGCCTGGTGGAGAGGTTGGGCCAATTTGTGAAGATCTCTGTGGCCCATGCCAAGGAGTTAACCCTTCACCTCTACGCACATTTGGAAGTTCTCAAGCAGCACATGGCATGACTATGTTTGACACTGGGTTGAGGACAATGCATTTATGCATTTGATACAATTTCAGTTTGAGTCTGAGTAGAGAATGAGTTGGTAGGGCAGAGTCTGGAGGCCTCTTGGGGAAGTTATTACAATAGTCCAGAAAAGAGTTGATTCAGACTGGACCAAGCCAGTTTGCGGGAGGACTAGAGAGAAAGACATGTGGTTTGCGAGTGTATGAGAGAGTTACTTCAGCCTAAATCTTTTGTCTCAGCCATGAGCCTACTTCACAAGGAGCCATCTGGAGTTTGGTCTACACAGCACTGACACTTAAACGATTATTCTTTGCTCATCTAGTCAACTCTTGATTCCCCACACTGCTTGAAGGCAGCAGCAAAGCAGATAATCCATAACTCTCCTCTATTTGGCTTTGGAATTAATTACACTTTTAAGAGCAAATTTGCCTTCCTAATTAATCTTTCTTAGGCTAATATTAAAATTAACTAATATTCCTGGAGCCCGTGACAGTCAGGCAGGGGAAGAGGGGAGCAGGGGAGGGGAGGGCAGGGTAAG